CCTTGATAAGAATGTTGTTTATTGGTCCAGTGGTGAGGATTTTTGTTTTCTTTACGTTAAGTTGTAATCCATACTGAAGGTTATGGTCTTTGATCTTCATCAGTAAGTATTTCAAGCACTTGTTAGTCTATGTCAAAAATTTGGAAGACAGCTACTTGGTGCTCATTCCAAACAAAGGTGACCCAACAAAATGTGGAAATTATCGAATAATATCATGAATATCACACCCAAGTAGAAGTTTGCTGAAGATAATTTAAAAACAGTTGCAATAGCACATCAAGAGGGAGCTGCCTGAAATTCAAGATGGATTCAGAAAAGGACATGGAAATTGCTGATGTCAGATGAATCTTGAATGAAAGTAGAGAATAACAGAAAGGTGTTTACCTGTGTTTTATTGACTATGCAAAGACATTCAACTGCATGGATCATAATAAATTGTGGCTATCATTGCAAAGAATGAGAAATCCAGAAAACATAATTGTATTCATGTGGAACCAAGAGGCAGTCATTCAAACATAACAATGGGATCCTGAATTGTTGAAAATCAGGAAAGCTGTGTGTCAGGTGAAAGTTGTATCCTTTCACCATGCTTATTCAATCTGTATGCTGCGCAAATAATTTGAGAAGTTGGACTATATGAAAAAGAACAAAGCATCAGGATTAGAGGAAGTCTTATTAACAATCTGCAATATGCAGATGACACAACTTTGCTTGCTGAAACTGAAGAGGACTTGAAACATTTTCTGATGAAAATAAAAGAATAACATTTTCAGTATGGATTACAATTCAACGTAAAGAAAACAAAAATCTTCACAACTGGACCAACATCATGATAAACAGAAAAGATTCAAGTTTTCAAAGATCTCATTTTACTTGGATCCACAGTCAGTACTCCAGGAAACAGCAGCCAAGAAATCAAATGGACATATTGCATTGTGCAACTCTACCACAAAAGATCTCTTCCAAGTGTTAAAGATCAAAGACATTGAGGATTAAGGTACACCTGACCCAAGTCATAGTATTTTCAGTTGCTTCATATGCATAAGAAAGCTGGACAATGAATAGCGAAGACTGGAGAAGAACTGATGTACTTGAATTAGGGTTTTGGCAAAGAATATTGAAAGTACCCTAGATAGCCCTAAGAACAAACAAATCTGTTTTGAAAGAAGTACACCCAGAATGTTCCTTAGAAACAAGGAACTTCATCTCATATAAGATGAAACTTCATCTTATATACTTTGGACAGGTTATGTAGAGGGACTTAGTCCTTGGAAAAGGTAAAGTGGAAGGTCGGTGTAAAAGAAGAAGAAACTCAGCCCCTGCCCCATCAATATAGAAGGACACAGTGGCTACAATATGAGCTCAAACAGAACAATTGTGAGGATGGAGCATGACTGGGCAGTGTTTTGTTCTATTTGCATAAATAGGGTTGCTCTGAGTTGGAACCTATTTGATGGCATTTAATAACAACAAAGGTTATCCATGCCTATTACAAACATTCACTCAAGGACTTAGAAGCATGTCACCAAGATAATTATTCTTAATTCAAATTTTAATGTCACTTTCAGGGAATTTTTTACATTTAAGATAATGATAGACTGATCACCTTAGGAAAAAAGTCATATCTCAGCAATTTTGTCAATTAGTGAGGTACTTTACTCCATGATTCCTATCATGTAAGCAAAAATTACTTTTCTCTGAAGACTTGAGAAGCCTTGGAATCAGTGTTGGATGCTATAGAAAGAGTCATTAATGTCCCAGATGTTTCCTGACCGTCTTCATCTTGCAATGATCACAGACCAAGTGCCTCATCAGCCCGTGCCCCTCCTGCTCAACTACAATTGATTACTTCTGTATTGTTCTCTCCCATTTTTGCACCCCAAGCTCCTCTCAGCCCAGCATTAATGGCCTCGTCTGTGAAGGTGACCTTGAGAATGGACTCTTGGGAGAGAAGTAATATATGAAAATTTGGGGTAATATGTGCCCATCTTACCTGAGTCTTCTAAACATAGGGGTTCTGACTGTCTTGGTCAGTTCTTTGATTCTCTAGGTCTGCATTGTCATGTACAGTAGCCACCAC